TAATGATTAAAATTCCTCTAATGTTTTGAAAGTTCCTAACGATTAATAAATTATTCTAATGTTTTGAAAGTTCCTAACGATTAATAAATTACTATTAGGGTTATTTATTAATCATTAGGAACTTTCAAAACATTAGAGTAATTTATTAATCGTTAGGAACTTTCAAAACATTAGAATAATAGAGATATTCTTACGGTTAAGGAAATAACTTTAGTATTTCGCTATTTTCTAAATTAAATATTAAATGAAATAATTTCTACATCTTAAATACATCATTAAGATTATAACCATAATGCCATGAGGGAGTATAAAAACATTATTAAGATGATAACCTTAACGTCATGATGGGGTTTAAATACATCATGTTCAATGAACGTCCTGCCCCCCCCCCCCCCAGTAGATCAGCGATAAGTTTACAGACTTATAGCAATAAAATTAGGGCGCTCGAATCGCAAACTGTGGGTTCGAATCCCCGTCCCACCAAACATGCTCGCCCTTTCAGCCGTGGGGGCGTTATATGTTATGGTCAATCCCACTATTCGTTTGTTAAAAGAGTAGCCCAAGAGTTGGCGGTGGGTGGTGATGACTAGCTTCCTTTCCTCTCGTCTTTCACTACTAAATTAGGGACGGCTAGCGCAGATAGCCCTGGTGTAGCTTTGCGCAAAATTAAAAAACAAACAAACAACACAAAAGATTGCGGTATCTGCAGACAGGTTTAATCCAATAAAACGTTTTTAATGTATTTTGACTCCTCCCCTTATCCTTATTTGGTTCGCTAAAATGATTGGTAAAAGGGAATCAAAAAGTCAAGTACAATATTTGTCCAATGAAAACGTTACTGCCCTGAGTTGGAGAGTACATAAAGAATAAACTCAGCCAGTAATATTCGTGTTTTTACTACACGAGATCTTTTGTGATGACCCGCGTTACTCTGCTGTACAAAGCAGTGGTTTATATATCGCCAAAACGTAACCTTATCGGCACAATTCTGTTCGCTTAGCAAAAAAAAAAGAAAAAAAAGAGAGAGATTGGATGGAATTTTTTACGTCTTTATTTGTATCGTGGAAACGCTGCTCTGAGATAACTACATTTATATAATAAAATAATCTCTAAAGAAAATAAACCGTCACAATATCTCATAGAAACGCTTATCTTTCCTTTGTCAGTTAATCCAATTAAATTAAGCCACATAACCGTTTTTTCAGAGTGAAAGAGACACCTGGTGGCAGGAAACAGAACAGGTACCTAATAACATCACCTTTTCAATCCGAAACTAAATCATAACAAAGTGAGAGATTTTATTTATTTGTTATTTTTATTTCTTTTACAGCGTCTAGACCAGATGAGAAACCACACAAGAGGAGTACTGTCCGGATGTCACTCCGATGTGTCCACTACTTTCCCGCTCAGCCATTCAACCCACTTGCTCCCCCTAGCGCCTCAGTCTGTAAGACTTTCGTGTTCAGCCCCGGAAAACTCGAGCTCGAAACTGTCTTGGATCGAGAAATTTATCACCATGGAGACATAATGCACGTACACGTGACGGTTAATAACAACAGCAACAAGACAGTGCAGAAAATCAAAGTATATGCTATTCAATACGTGTACGTGTGCATGTTCACTAATGGTCGCTTCAAAAATCTCGTCGGCCTTGCCGAAACGGAAGATGGACATCCCGTTTCTCCTGGAGCCAGCTTATCACGTGATTTCTGCTTTAAACTAATGAGTTTTCTCAAGTACCCTGTAGCTCTTGCATTGGAAGGCGGGTTTAATGATGACGTCACGGTTCTGGCCACTAGTTCCCTGAATCCTCGGCCGAAAGAAAAAAATCCGTATGGAGTTATAGTAACATACAGGGTCAAAGTTAAAGCTGTCCTTGGTTGTATGGACAGGCCTGTTATTATCCATCTTCCCTTCAAAATCCTAAGTTATAGAACAGCAGACGATTTTACTTTTAGTACAAGGCCCAAGCAGCAGAGGGCGTTCGCTACCGAAATAGTTGATGATGAAGATAGTGCCACAGAAGAGATTTCCCGTCTGGTTATGTTTCACGCATGATACACAGAGTCGTACTTTGTTGTGTAGTAATAGAATGGATCAAAACTGTCTTTCGTTAAAGAGTCATGTTCAGCATTTTTATGGTAAAAGTAATGGATCAAAACTGTCTTTTTCTATATAGTTGAAGGGTCATGCCGGTCATGGTCAGTGTTTTTATGGTAAAAGCAATGGACCAAAAGTGTCCTTCCTTTACAGTCGAAGAGTCATGGTCAGTATTTTTATGGTAAAAGCAATGGACCAAAATTGTCCTTCCTTTACAGTCGAAGAGTCATGGTCAGTGTTTTTATGGTAAAGGCAATGGATCAAAATTGTCCTTCCTTTACAGTCGAAGAGTCATGGTCAGTGTTTTTATGGTAAAGGCAATGGACCAAAATTGTTCTTCCTTTACAGTCGAAGAGTCATGGTCAGTGTTTTTATGGTAAAGGCAATGGACCAAAATTGTCCTTCCTTTACAGTCGAAGAGTCATGGTCAGTGTTTTTATGGTTAAGGCAATGGATCAAAATTGTCCTTCCTTTACAGTCGAAGAGTCATGGTCAGTATTTTTATGGTAAAGGCAATGGGTCAAAATTGTCCTATCTTTATAGCTGAAGAACGATAAAAACCCAAACGCTTTCGAAAGGAGGACCTTTCTTCTTCAGGAGGATACTGGGAATGGTGCTGTAACTGAATGAGTGATATATATATATAAAGGGAGTTGGGTGACGTCATGGAGGTCACCTGGGCTTCCAAGAAGTGTTTTTGTATACCTTTCAAAGTACTGTTGTAAGTGTCTCATTTCTGGTGCAACACTACCAGAAACGAGAGCGTCATATAAAAAGGTGTTACAGGTGTTTTGCTTTAGAAATGGTCAAGAAAACTATACTTAAGTTTTCAAGTAAAAATAAAGGTGACACGTGGAGATTTACTGAAAAAAAAAGATACGTTAAGCAGGTCAACTTCTAAAGATAGGCATGGAAAATTATCATAAATAAATAATAAATGTTAGAAAGATTTGGAGTAAAAATTGAGAGTTCACTCTACATGAAATAGATAAATAAATATATTCTTTTTCTGATTCCAGGATCTAGAGAACAAAACCAATGATCGAAGATCACCGATTCCAGGTTCTAGAGGATATATAAAAACACTTTCTGGAAGACCAGGTGACCTTCATGACGTCATTTAACTCCCTTTATATATATATCACTCATTCAATTACCCGCCATTCCCAGTATCCTCCTGAAGAAGAAAGGTCCTCCTTTTTGGGTTTTATCGTTTCGTTTTAAGACTTCTTGAACCCACGTGTTCTTCTGACATCGTGTATTTATAGTTGAAGATTCATGGCCAGTATTTTTAGATATCTACATTATGTATACTGAACACTAACATTTTACTCCTCTTCTTTGCGAATGGTTAATTATCACCATCCCCAAACACGAAAGAAAATTAAACTGAGATGCATATTTCGAAGACTGTTATAATAAAGTTTCTGTATAAATCAGTTACCAACTGTAAATATAACAGACAAAACTCACTTTCACTCCTAAGATAAGAAATATGCAGACTGCCCCTTAGTTTATAAAGTGCAAAAAATAATATTAATTACTTTAAGGCTAAGAAGGGAGTCAAACACCACATCTGGTTAAAATCCCAGATCGTTTTTGTGGTTAAAATCCCATATCATTTTTATGGTTAAAACCCCACATCTTTTTTTTGTGATTAAAACCCCATATCGTTTTTGTGTTTCAAACCCCACATCTTTTTTTTTTGTGATTAAAACACCACATCGTTTTTGTGTTTCAAACCCCACATCTTTTTATGGTTAAAACCCCACATCGTTTTTGTGGTTAAATCCCAACATCGTTTTTATGGTTAAAACCCCACATCGTTTTGTGGTTAAAACAGCTAGTACTGACTCACAGTTTAAAAGAATAGTAAACAGCTCTCTTATAGAAATCCAAATTAATAGTTGGCAAACAAACAAAAAAAAAGAAACCGAGCTTTTGATCCAAACCAGAACCATTGTTAGCAGTAGAGTCTCATTATCGTCAGCAGTGCAGGATCTCTGCTTCATTGTTACTGGATAACAAACGTTTTAAACGTTATAAAAAAAAGGGTATAAGATAGAGAATTAAGGTATTGAAGAGGGACAAACTTTTGATTATAGTATATCAACATGTCACAAAACAGAACGGTTAGATTGTATATCTTTAAAAAAAAACTGTTGCGTCAGTATCTTTTTTTGAAACGATAGCTTCATACACCAGAAGTCTAGTTAAGATTCAGACATGCGCTGTGAAGAGAAAAGCAAGTAATACGTGGTTTTGTTAATTGCTTCACGAGTGTCTGCTGTCAGTCAAGTAAAGGAAATTGCTAGCTTGTCACGTCGCTGTTTCTTTTATCTGACGACGTTATTTCTTCATGTCCTGGAATTTTTTTTTTGTCATATTCGAAAGATAAGCGTGTGTTTGTTCTTCTCTGCTAAACTACGACCAATATTAAAAACAAGTAACAGAGTTACGTTTTGTTATCTAACCGTTTATACCAAGTAATCGGTAGTTGTGTTGATTAAGAAGTTAAATATAGCTGAACAAAACGATATATTCTATTTTACTTTAGTGTTGTTATATAATTAATCGTTAGAAAGAACCCGGCATAGCCAGGTGATTAGGGCGCTCGACTCGCAAACTGCGGGTTCGAATCCCCGTCCCACCAAACATGCTCGCCCTTTCAGCCGTGGGGGTGTTATAATGTGACGGTAAACCCCACTATTCTTTGGTAAAGGAGTAGCCCAAGAGTTGGCGGTGGCTGGTGATGACTAGCTTCCTTCCCTCTAGTCTTTCACTGCTACATTAGGGACGGCTAGTGCAGACAGCCCTCGTGTAGCTTTGCGCGAAATTCAAACCAATATCCAAGTTTTAAAAATCGTTAGAAAGACCAGTACTGTTTGTTTAGTTGATGTGTTCAGTCTGTAATATAAAGGAAAACGGATAAGAAAAGAAAAAGTAGCTTTCTAAACTAGGAAAACGATTTTCTTTACAAGCACAAAACAGGGAGAGGGAAAAAGGGATCGCATTGGTGGGTGTGAAATATGGAGCGCCATCTATAAGGTAGTTGTTCGTTGATTATTTAGTTGTGTTTTAATACATTTATTAGTGACGTCGTTGTTCTAGTGCATACCTTCAACTGAAGTTTGTTGGAGTGTTTTTCATGTTTTAACACACTGTAGTTTCGTTAGGTTGTAACATGTGATCTGCTCTGGTTAACCGTTGTAATATGTGATCTGCTCTGGTTAACCGTTGTAATATGTGATTCGCTCTGGTTAATATGAAATGTGTTGTCAATATTTTGTGAAAGACAGACTCGCTAATGGTTTCTCTAACGTGAGGGGTAACGAGCCCCCATCAACTAATCCTCACACAAATTGATACAAACTCTTTAGCTCATCTAACGTGAGGGGTAACACAGTCTTAAAGACAGACTTGTTAACACCGACAGACGATAACACGTCTGATTTGTTGGATATCACTAGAACAGATCAAAATATAGAAAACCATCCTTGTTCTCTAGTCTTTTGGTAACAACTTACACAAAGTGTTTATCTACAGCAAGTTATATACGGAGTACGACGTCTGATTTGTTGGATATCACTAGAACAGATCAAGATATAGAAAACCATCCTTGTTCTCTAGTCTTTCAGCACAAAGTGTTTATCTACAGCAAGTTATAAAAGTTGTATTATGATATTGAATAGCTTAACTCATTAATGAGTTTTCTAGTCAAGTATATATCATATTAGATGTTGTGTAAAAGTTCTCGTCAGAGGCGTAATTGTAACATAATGCTTTGTAATTATATTCTGTACTGGCAGTAAAAACGTTAGCACTTTAATTTCTGTGTTTCTCTTTCTAAACAGCTTTCATTTTTTTTCCACCTGATAAATTAAGATATTCAAATTTCAGTGATTTCCTAGTGTACTAAATACTCCCGTACAAAGTATAAAATTAAAAAATATTACTTCAGGAAATTCATTTTTCGGGATGATATATTGTTATGACAACAAAACAAAACATACATTAATATATTTTTTTTATCAAAAAATACAATCTGGAGCATGAACCTAAACATATCTATTTACTGGGTGTACCAGAGAGTCTTAAGCCTAAACATTTCCATTTACAGTGTACCGATATGTTTTAAGCCTAAACATATCTATTTACTGGGTGTACCAGAGAGTCTTAAGCCTAAACATTTCCGTTTACAGGGTGTACCTGAATGTTTTAAGCCTAAACATATCTATTGACTGGGTGTACCAGAACGTCTTAACATTTCCGTTTACAGGGTGTACAGGAATGTTTTAAGCCTAAACATATCTATTTACTGGGTGTACCAGAGAGTCTTAAGCCTAAACATTTCCGTTTACAGAGTGTACCTGAATGTTTTAAGCCTAAACATATCTATTGACTGGGTGTACCAGAACGTCTTAACATTTCCGTTTACAGGGTGTACAGGAATGTTTTAAGCCTAAACGTTCTATTTACATCAGCGTTCAATAAAAACGTTTCAAAAATATGGTGTTAGTGTCATCCATGAAGTTTTGGGGAAAAGTCGCGTGATACACGCTAAAAAAATTTGTCTTACATTTCATGTTATTGAACCTAATTATTTCAGATCATGGCATTATCTCATACGAAATATGTGTGTAATCTTAACGAAATTCAAATATTTAAAAAAAAACTCATTTTGATAATATGTACGCGTAAGATAATCTTTAACTAAATTTCGGGTGTTGTGACAACGAATCAGGCCGTGTCCCTCTCCCACCACCCCGTTTTCAGGGAAAAGAAAAAGTGTATCTTATTTACATTTTATTTGTTTGTTTTAGTGAAACGGATTACCTGTGCTTTATCCATAGCGGGGTATCGATCATCGGATATTATATTTTTCGAAAATCCATAAACTCACCACTAACCACCCCCCTGGAGGACACGTTACATTGAACTGAAAATAAAATCAATTATTCACTTTCTTTTCCCTTTAACATCAACCAAATGATTCGTTGTAAAATGCATACATTTTAAATCCAATATCGTGGTCCCACAGTTGCTCAGCGTGTTTCAATACCTGTGGTGGGCAGAGCACAGATAGCTCATAGTGTAGCTTTACGCCTAACAACAAACAAACAAAATAAGATCGTTAGGCACTCGCTTGAATAACCGAAAAATATGGAAGCTTTCTATTAATAAATGGAGAAAAAAAATCGGGCTTCCTAGAAAGTGATAAATAAAATGTTGGATATTTCTAGATACAAGCAGAAGAGTTCTAAATACTCTAAGTTAATTTCAAATGTAATATTTCATAGTTTATAGGTATCTGATCTATACTACAATATTTCAGTGTGTCGAAAAAATATTATTACAGAAGCATTAAACTCTTAATTGACGGACTAAGCTAACCCTGGTCTTTGAAGTAATCATTTGAAAATATTCTTTGAAAAGCAAGAATATACTGTTTATTCAGACAAAACAAAGTTGTATCTCTTCAACAAATCAAAGATTCTAAAATGTGTATATGTTTTTAAAATACACAGTTCACCCTGTTCGAAAGTTGTGCTCGAGAATAAACAGATTGTTAACAAAAGAAACCCTTCAGTTCTAAGTGTCTATTAATTAAAGATCTATCACTGAATCATTTTCGTGTTCTCACTTTATTGAAATCGATAGCACGATAGTGTCTTAGTTGAATAAAAAATAAATCTGGCTCAACGAACAACGTTTCACCATCAAACCAACTTCATTTACTTAAGCACTGTAGAAGCTCTGAGCTTATAAAGACATTTCGGATTCTGGCTGTTGCTAGGAGACGGTTCCTTAGCAACCATAATTGAAAAGCACTTCTTAGAATACCGATTTAGGAAAATCAGTGGATAAAAATACATTACGTGCTAAAGTAAACCAACTTAGTAATCTGAGTTACATTAAAAAGATTTTAAGAAAGAAATTATTTACATGTATTTTTTTGTTTTCATTTGTGATAAAAATTTAATAAAAAAAGTTAGGAAATATTTTTATAGTTTTGTTTGTTCCCTTAGAGAGAAGCCACTTTAGGCTTCCGCTGTGTCTACCGCGGATAATTAAATCCCGGATTTTAGCGTTGTAAGTACGTACCATTGTCTCACCGACGGAC